ACTATCATAAATAAGTAAGATGTTTTAATCATGATAATAATGGGTTATAGATTAGTTGAGTTCATAAAGAAAAATGGCAGGGTTTTGAAATAAAATATTCTATTATTTTTTCTTTTTGTTGTTAATTTAGTTAATTAATTTGTATTTTTGGTTCTACTAAGGACTGCGCCTTGTCATTAAAAAGATAGGTACAGATGGAGTAACTAAATTTTTATTGCCTACCGATAATGTAGATTTTTTGTAATTTGAATGGTCTCAATGAATTGTTATCTGTAAGCTTTAGGCTTTAGCTCCGTTTAAAATGCACTTCAAAAATTTTATATCAGCCCAACATTGCCAGAAAATAATTTCTATTCAAAGTAGAGCAGTAAGTAAAAGTTGTATGTTGCGCGCACCAGATTTTTTTTTAATACAATAATTGACATTTTTCGAGTTATGTTGCATTTTTCTGAAAGGTGTTCACTATGTGACTCGCCTTTCTTTAGCTAGTCATCAAGTAGCTTTTAGAAAATTAAATTAGTGAATAATTTGATGAATTTTCCCTTTGCGATATTCCAACATAAGCCACTTACAATTAGGCTGACAACTTTTGACCTATCCATGGCAGACAATGGAAATCTCGTAATTTCATTTCAGTAAACTTCACAATGGAAAATAACAGTTTAATAACTAATAGTCCTAAAATCGATAATCATTTATAGGTTAAATATTTAGCTGTACTTTCAAATCTCTCTAGGCATATATTAGCCTTTCTGTTGACAGAATGACTAACTCCAATTTCAACATTCTTTATTATTAATAAATGCATACCTTTATTCACAGTTCTAGATTTCAACACTGCAATCACCTATTCTGGAATCAACTAACTCACTGTATGTATAGATACAACTTTTCCAACAAGAAATATCACTAAAATGACATTACTCAAAAAAGTTGAAATTGGAGTTATTCATTCTGTCAACTGAAAGGATCAGAAACTGAAGTTGTGTGATTTATAAAAGCAGATGGAGTAACTAAATTTTTATTGCCTACCGATAATGTAGATTTTTTGTAATTTGAATGGTCTCAATGAATTGTTATCTGTAAGCTTTAGGCTTTAGCTCCGTTTAAAAAGCACTTCAAAAATTTTATATCAGCCCAACATTGTCAGAAAATAATTTCTATTCAAAGTAGAGCAGTAAGTAAAAGTTGTGTGTACCAGATTTTTTTTTTAATACAATAATTGACATTTTTCGAGTTATGTTGCACTTTTCTGAAAGGTGTTCACTATGTGACTCGCCTTTCTTTAGCCAGTTTTTCTAATTTTCGCACAAAAGAACAGAGCAGAATAGAATTTGTTGAAAATATTTTCTTTCAAGAATAAACAGTTCTAACTACGCAGATTTATTTTAACCTTAATGGACTACAGTTTCCCTGCTGTTGGAAAAAAAAACTTAATAAACTTTATGCCCATATTAATAAAATTGATAATTATTGAAGAAGAATAATGTGATAAGGTATCTGGTATTGACCTATTAATTGGTTTTAGATGATCAACCTGATGTTCGTATCCTCTGATCTTAATTCTAATAATTTTCAGCAATGGTGATTAATAATAAGCTATTATCATAATTAAATATTTATGTACACTTTGTCTAATGGCATGCATATTTTATCTGTCCGATTATGGCTATTTATATGTATAAAACTAAATATTCCATTCAGGGTAAATTTTGTTTCTTGTTGGATTTTAGAAAGGGTTCCCTCGAAGGGAACGAGGAAACCGTTGAAGCATGGAGATGATAGGTGGGATAGAATTCCAGAGGGAGGTAGCTCTGGTTAGGATTTGTCAAACCCAGCAGTGTGGTGTGGGGAGGGGGGAGGCGAAGATAGAAGTCAGAAGGAGGAGATCGGGATTTGATCGATGATTTAATTGCAGGCTCTGTAGTATGTAGGATGGGCGGTGAGTTCTGATAACCTAATAAAGGAAGGAAATATTGACACTTGTTAGACGGGCCTCACAGGTCCCAGAGCCATATAAAATTCGGTTGTTCGCTTGTCTAACAACTAGGTGTCCCCGAAAATATATCTAACTAAACAATTCATAAGCCGCTTAAGTCTTGTTTCAAGTTCACCAGAGAGTCCGCCGTACATCAGACAGCCCTAGTGAAAGTGGGAGGACGCAAGGGACGAAACTAGGAGTTGTCGGGTCTTACGTGGGAGGATGTAACTTAGGTGACTGAATTGTTTCAGATTGGTATGGTCCGGCGGGATGTTTAGGAGATTTCTTGTTTCCATGAAAGGGTTTGGTCGAAGTTTTTTAACTGAGGTATGGAATGAGATAAGGGTATTGCTCAGGATCAATTAGGGCTAATCTGGATAGGATTTAAGGAGCGTAAAGGATCTAATCTTGATGGCATTGGTCTTCTCGCCATTTAGGATATCATTATCTTGAGAGCCCCAAGCACTTATTCCGTCGATGTCTTCGTGTAATTTCGTGATTGCATTAGAGGAATCGTCAGGTTAAAGGAGAGATAGATTCGAACATCATTGGCATGTAGATGACACTGGGAATGTTGGATAGAGAGTGAAAGGTCATTAATAAAGATGGAGAAAAGAATAGGGGACAAGGAAGAACTCTGAGATACGCCTTGGGACAGAGGTCGGGGATCAGATCGAGTATTATTGGGTAAAACAGGTGAAGAAGGAAAGGAACCACTGCAGGACACTAGATGATAGGAACAGGCCGTAAAGCTTGGAAAAGAAAATATTGTGGTCAATGGAATCAAAGGCTTTGGAGAAGTCAAGGAGAATAAGGATCGTAGGTTTCTGCTGGTCCATGGCTGTATGGAATTCTTGGGAAATTTTCATGAGGGCAGTCTGAATGGAGTAGCCTGGCTGGAAAGCAAATTGGAAGAGTTTTAAGGATTTGAAGGAGATTCATCGCTTCTTATTATACACTCTCTCAGAGTAGGAGTCAGCCAAGGAGCGGGGGATGTCAGATTATTCTTGAGGAACATGGCTGTCGAGGTTGGTATGAAGATATTTGGTAAGAGTTTCTACCATGGTGTCAATGGATTTTAAGGAATAAATGGGGTCTCACTGGATAGTCGATGTCATGCGAAATGGTTTCATAGGTGTAGGAATTGCGATTTCGGAAGGATATAGTTTGGGGAGAAAAAAAACAACAAAAAACCCAATGCCCGATCATGAATATTTTAGAAAATCTGGATAATTTCATGAGAAGATAGAAATGGGACCGGTTGCTGAGCGGCAAGGAATTTGAGGAATCTAGAAGCAACAAATCGAGCCAGGAGTCCGAGAACTGTGTACGATAGGTTGGAATTCGGGATATAATTTAAAGTCTAAGGGAATGGAGGACGGCATCAGGAAATTGATGTTTACTGAAAAGACATATAGTTCAAATGTCCTGATTTTCTGTTTTAAATCGGGCTATAAACGTTTGATGTCCATTTCAAACATTGCCTATATTAGATATTTCCAAACATTATCCAACCATTTTAAAAATTATTACAACACCTTCGAAGTTAACAATGCATATACCAATGTTACATAATAGAACAAATAAAGCAACTTTATTCTGAGACAAAATTCATAAAGAATACCAGTAATATACAGAAAATTTCACATTAATTCTGGCTATCGGACTGATTACTTATGTACATAGTTATCAAAAAAATATTTAAAAACCAGGTTAGGAAATGTCGGGGCGAAACTACGGCTTTTCCAGGAGAGATAAGTTTAGTTGTAGGCCCATTCTTTCACCGCCTGTTCTCCCCAAATAAAATTCAAACATCTTATATAATATTCGAGGTAATATATTTGAAATGGATATCAAAACATCGTAACATAAACTAATTTATGACTGAGTTAAGATTTAAAACTAGAATTTCGTTCGAATATTCCTCCACCTTTGCCTCTGTCTAGTTCCGGTCCTAGGAAAGGTGTTACAAAATATTTGCAATTAAAATAAAATGATATAGAAAAGGAAAGTTATATTAATCTTATAATCAAACAATATTAACCTTTATATATATATTTCTGTTATTTAAAAAAATGTTTAACTAAATGAACATAAATGTTTAATAATAACGATAAAAAAAAATGTCAATATTTATCCAAAAACATAGATTGAATCAAATACAATATATTAAGAAATTTATTCTAAATTACTGAATTGCAATGCAGATAACTAAATAAATAAAGTAAAATGGTAAATAAATAAAGTATAATAGTAAAAAAAATAAATTATAATCGTAACGAAATAAAGCCTTATAATATACATAGTAAAGACGATTCCTACAATGTTAAGTAAAGGCGAATCCACGGCGGGGGGAGGGCTTTCTTGTCAGGAAAAAATATAAAAATGTACCTCTTAAAAGCATTTTGTTCCTAAATACATTTTTTTTTTTTTTTTACAGCCCTACAAATATCACTTATACATTATTTTATACAGTTTCTTTCTTTTTCTTCCAGAATAACTACCATTATTATAAAAAAAAAAAAAAAAAAAAAACTTTCTCGCAAAATTAAATTCTTGATCCGCTACTGGTGTAAATTAATATAAAATGTGTTCCATATACCAAAAAAAAAAAAAAACTTATGTTTAAAAATAAACAAATCCGTGTTATACATAGTTAGCCATATTCTGAATATATTGATTGATAATAAAATATATCAAAACCAGTATACAAGTCAATCGATTTGTTATTACAAGTTTTCTGGCTTTCAGGAATTAAAACTGTCTCAGTCCACGAAAATCTTGATTTCTATTAATGTAAATTATTTGGATAGAAAAGGTGACAGGCCGAAATAAAGTCTTGAGTAAAGTGGCCCTGCTGGCCGTTGTATTATTTTTAACTTTTCCCGGTGACCCTAAGGAAGAAGATGGCAGGGGTTGGAAAGGGGATAGGTTGTGTAAGTCGGCCGGGAGAGGGGGAGCTTGGTATATATTGTTCTTCGGAGGGTGCTACCAGCATCAGTCAGCCACCAGCTCAAGGATGAGGAGTCTTCTGGTGAGTGTTCATTGAGTGTAATAGCGGTCCAGGATACGTTGTCTTTTAGATATTCAGTGCCTCCGAGTGTATACCACGTCTGCTCAAAGCGGTTCAACTAAAATCCCGGTTATATCAAATCAAAAAAAAAAAAATCGAGTGATCTGTGGAAAGCAGTGAATCCTAATGAGTATTGCAGTGAACCCCCTCAGGGTGATTTACCAATCGGCTAAATATTATCTCCATTACAGCATAACAAACGTTTCTGTCATATCTAAAAAAGTTGGAATCTCATTTGATTATTCTTTGACTAAAAAAAAAATTAATTTATTTAATTTGAGCCAATAATGTTCAATATTTAAAAAAAAAAAGAAAATAAATAAAAAAAGTTTATTTTTTCACATATTAATAAATTAGGATCTTATTAATTTAAATAAAAATTGAGAATTTTAAAATCAATCCAAGTAAAAATTTTAAAGCGTTAGATTATCATTGCAACTGGACAATACAAAACAGAATATTTCGGGATACATAAAATATGGAATTATTACATTTAAAACATACATCCGACAAATTCTATCTTCTTCTTTGATGATTAAATTACGAATTTCAAATGTTTAAATCGCCTTAATGTAAACAATATAAGGTCAAGCCGGAATACAAATTCGTCTGAAACAAAGAATCCTTCTTAAATGGACTAAAACTCATGTTCTCTCTCGACTTGAAAAAACATGAATCCGTTTAGAAGACAATGCTCAGTGAAAGTTGTTCGGTGTTTTGAATTGAATTTTAAAAATTAGAATTCCCTCAGCGTCTCTCTCGGCGGCCTTTTTTAAGGGATATCTTGCTCCAGTTCCGGTATCTGCATGATTAGACAAAACATTTTTTTTGTTTCCAGTAGTAACGGTATTGTCATTTTTAAATATCCCTCCGAAAAAAATAGTTTTCTGACATACTTTACCCACAAGTTGTGCATTATACTTGCTCACGGTGTTTCGTGAAACAAATTAGCAAAATACGCGGGTATTAATTGTATATTTAGAAAGTTCGCCGACTAAGAATAAGAAGATACCAGACATTATAGTCGCAATGCTGGAAAAGCTATCTTCTCCTTTTACTTAAGAAGTGAAAGTATTTTAAGACCGGATATACCGACGTCCAATAATTCTCGTAGTGATTTGGATCCTTGTATGGCCACTTATTCACGTGTTATTTCTAAAGATCCTCTCTTCAACATTTAGCTATAACTCTTACATCTTTCGGCAGTACTATCCATCCTTGTAACGAATTCTCATCGCCATTATCACGAAAACCAGTATTAACTTTTTTCTCTTTCTTTATTTAGTCTTTTTTTGTAAAACATTCTGACAACACATAAAACAATAATTATTACACCTTATACAAAGTTCAAATTTAAAAAATGTCTATACATTTAAAAACGCTTTAGTTCGTATATGCAAGCAATTCCATTAAAAATATATTTATTAATTTAAATTATTTCCTATATTGGTGACTGTTAGCTTTTTTCAATCACAAAACGTCTAGCGTAGTCTGTTTGATATATTCATTCTTAATTTTTGTTTTGTTTTTTTCATTTCAGGTATTAACATTGGCAGCGATTGCTCACGCTAAACCCAAGCCAGAAGCTGGCTATTCCTATTCCGCCCCAACTCCTTCGGGTAGTTATGGAGCACCATCAGGTGGTGGCGGTAGTATTGGAGGCGGCATCGGTGGAGGTCATGGAGGTGGTTTCGGAGGTGGAATTAGCGGCATAAGCGGAATTGGAGGAGGATTCGGTGGTGGATTTGGAGGCGGCTCAGGAGGTGGTTTCGGAGGCGGCTCAGGTGGTGGATTCGGAGGCGGCTCAGGAGGTGGATTCGGTGGTGGATTCGGAGGTGGCTCCGGAGGTGGTTTCGGAGGTGGCTCTGGAGGCGGATTTGGTGGTGGATTCGGAGGCGGTGCTCCCACAATCCAGAAACACATCTACGTCCATGTCCCACCACCAGAGACTGAAATCTCTCAACCTCCACGAGTAATTGCCCCACAAGGTGCTCCTCAGAAACATTACAAGATCATCTTCATCAAGGCCCCCACTCCACCAACCCCAACTGCCCCAATCATTCCTCAACTCCCACAAGACCAAGAAAAGACCCTTATCTACGTGTTGGTCAAGAGGCCAGAAGACGGTCCAGAAATCACCATCCCAACAGCCGCTCCCACTCAGCCATCCAAACCAGAAGTATACTTCATCAGGTACAGGACCCAGAAAGAAACCCAAGCCATTGGCGGTGGTGGAGTCGGCGGAGGAATCGGAGGTGGAGTTGGAGGTGGAATTGGCGGCGGCATCGGTGGCGGTATTGGCGGTGGTATCGGCGGCGGCATCGGCGGCGGCATCGGTGGCGGCATCGGCGGTGGTCACGGAGGAGACGGAGGCATCGGAGGAGGACACGGCAGCACCGGCCCATCGGGTCCATCGACCAGCTACGGAACCCCAGGAGCAAGCGGACCCTACTAAATAGACTGTACAGTAATTTACTTTATCTCAAATTTGTATTATATTTGTATATTAATGAGCAATCGCAAAAACCACGGTGGCAATAAATGTATTTTTGTATAAAACACAAAATCATCTATTTATTTGTTACCTATTCATATTATCATCTAATAGCTACATTTTACTAATTCGTAAAATGTAGTCTTCATTAAGGAGTAAAAAAGGTTTCAGTAAACAGCATTAAGCTGGGCATATTCTGCTTTCTTTTTTATTATTTTTTTGCAAACTCATGATCATATTCATGAGCTGGCAAAAAATGTATTTCAACTTGATGATCTGATAAGTCAAAAACAACCTTCACTGCCATATCATTAAATAGCACTATAGAACTCACATCTCTAAAGAAATATTCGAATTCGAGTTAAATCCAATAAGATACAAATGCAATATTTCATTATTAACTTTAAATCAAATGATACCAAACATTCCAATAGAAACAGAGATTAAATAACTTTCGTTTCAAATTCTTTTTTTTTTTTATATTACACTCCACATTTTATGTTACCAGCTTATAATATATTCATTTATCTTTCACACAATGGCAAATTTATATGGTCATAAACCTTTTTTTTTTTTGTTTTCCATTCCTGTCATAAAAGAAAGTAACGACTTGCACTAGATCTGTCAACCGTAGAGGCCGGGTATGGCACACCCAATATTATTTAAAAGCAATTGTATAACATGGGGCCAAGTCTTCCAATATTTCGCAGACATTTGCTTAAAATAAACAACAAAAGGTACAATAAACCATATTGATAGTTGTTCTATAATTTTACAGATTATAAATTTATTACTGTGCTACTTATTTTTTGCATTATTGTGCTACTCCTTTATGTATGGCGTTCATAAAGTTCAAAATGATAAAATATGACCATGTTTTATGAAAAAAGTTATCTCTAAAAGTATTATTGTTCATCTAATTACAGATAATAGGACTTAAAGAATCACTTAATGGCCATTTCATGTAGTTAGTTAGGTAGTTACTTCTTTCTTACTTCCGAAGTAATATCGTAATATATTTATACAAAAAAAAAATCTTTCGGGCTGAAACCCCCCAAAATCCCCGATCCGTAAGTTCTATTAACTGAAAGATAAATTAATTGAAAAAAAAAATTAAAGATATTTATTTCAATCATATGAAAACTTTTTTTAAGAGGATTTTTTTTTCTTTGTGAGTTTATTGGATTAATCTTATTAATACAACTTTAACCAAAGAATGACAGTTATTAACGAGCTTATGAATAACACATGAAAGAATATAGATATACTTGTTTGTTTTCTTTCCGGGACTGTCTGATATTATTTTCATATTTAGCCGGCTAATAATTCAGATGATTTTAAAAAAAATCATTTTTTTTTTGTTATAAAGTCTCAAAATTAAATTCGCCTATAGGCACACCACCTTTGATTCAATATGGCTGAAAACAGGTAGAATTCAGCAAGTAATTCCGATGGTAGAAATATCTTTGCTAGAGGTATTGTCATAACCAAATCTAGATGAAGGAAGTTGGTATGCAGAGGTATTGACAACCCATCTATAAATAAGCTAAAGAACAAGATGAGACATCGTGTTATGAATTCTTAATCGCCTAAAACCAGGGGTGCCCATTCCCCCCAAGGTCCATAGCGCAAGAACCTACACCCCTCCTCTCCCGTCCATATTCCAAGATATTGTATTGCTCATACAATATCTCATATACAATTACACTTGTTTCATGTATTCCTATAACCCCATCGAAATTTGTTTCCCTCAAAAAATTTAGAAATACGTTAAAATATGCAGCCCTAACAAATTTTGATGACGCAACTTGCGCCATGAAACTCCTTTCGGGGCACCTCTGCCTTGAACCTGGGATATTCAAAGGATTTACAGAAACTATATACACTTCGAAAATGGACAATCACAATTGATAGATTGAAGACACATACATTTTATAAAACAACAGCAATAGATGATTTCACAACATAGTTACTGGAACACAACCTGATTATAACAATAATAAATTAGATTGACATTAACTGTAATTGTGTCCGCAAAGAAGGTTGTTGTTCTATTATGGAGTAGAAGGCAAACGTTCGGGCATCATCTTCAGGGGCATGATTTTACCGTTCCTTAGTACCTATACTTATATTTTTCCTTGGGTTCCTTATAACTCATAAACTGGAGAATTCATTATTAAGTTTCCAACACGAAGAATTTGTAAACTCAGGGCTAGAGAACAATTTTCTCCATATCTTAACATTGTGACCATTAGCGAATCCATGTAGGGACGGGGATTTTCGGGCTTAACCTCCCAAAATGGAGAAATCAATTTTTTCATTGCTCCCTAATTGTTTATGTGTCGGCGGGTGGGTCCCGGCCGAGAATTGCCGAGCGACTTTTAACTGTGGCATCAATTTTCCGACCTCTTCCCAGTGCAGGAAAAAACCGCGTGTAGCCGAAAAAACAAGGTAGAGGAGAAAATGAGAAAAAAATGTTTTGCAACTGATCGAAGCTAAATTCCTTAAATAAGTATTATTATTTATTATTATTATTTTTTTATTGTCGTTTAATGACCGCCTAAGCAGATTTTTCTTTATCATCCAGAAAAATTACCGTTATAATTTAAAAAAAATAACTATCTCTTTCAAAAATGAAATCCTAGAACCACTACTACTTAGAAGAAAAATAGATCAAAGATGATTTTCTGAAAAATCTGAGCATGGATCTTTAAGATCTTGTTAAAATCTTAGTCAAGGACATGGACTCAAACATTCAAGCAGAATATTTTTTAGAGATAGGAGAGAGAATGGAAAATTAGGAGCAATATAAAAAATATTAACTTCCTTATAACTTTGTAAAACTACCGAATTTCTCTATTATACAGCGATGAATTGTGAATTTGTTCTCTTTTTAACTTCTAGAATAATATCTCATGGTGAATTGGTTCTGACAACGTAAACTCTTTTAATATAACACCGTCGCAAAGTTCAATGGACTGCTGAGGAAAGAGACAGATTTCATACCCAAAATTGAGAAATACTACTTGTATAAATCCACAAATGAGGATGGTAATCGAATGATAAATTTTATAGCCTCAAAGTCCCTGTTAGTTATGATTAGGTACTATATTCCCACATAAACTCTAACAAAACCGACTTTCACCTGATGGCAGCTCAGCCAAGAAGATAGCTTATATCAAACTATCGAGTCGGTGTTTTAATAGTCTCGATGATTTGAATCACTTATATAAACTCACAATATGGCCTTGTTATCATTGAACTAATACAAGTTATATTCAAAAAAATATGTAGCAGAATGTTATATGAAAATGTGTGGACATTTGCTTTAATTCCGAATACTTAAATTATGAAAAAAAGTTTCATTGAGGGAAAGTCATTTGTATTGGTTGAAAAAGATGGCATTTTATCAACATTAAAAATTTAATAAGGAATGTTCGAGGCAGTAGGGTTTCGGGTGGCAATAGATTTGATACGTTAGTTGATATTTTGGTTGATACAATTTTTAGGAAACGATACTGGTACAGGTGAGTGAACTAGTCCAGCCACTGGGCCTTATAGTCTTATAATCGTTTACGCCAACCCCTGACGGCTACCTATACCTAGAGTTTTGGGCACTAGCGGATTCAGGATTTATTTTGGGGATCTTCGTCCGAAAGCTTCGTATATATATATATATATATATATATATATATATATATATATATATATATATCCCCAAAATGGTAAAATGTAATCATGTGTTATGGAAACAAATATTAAATAAATCTGGCTCAAAGTATTATTGTTCGTGTAATTACATTTAATAGAACTTCAAGAATCACTTAAACACCATTTCCTATAGGTATATAGTATCTTTATTTCTTTTCAAAATTAATTGTCGTTATATATATATATATATATATATATATATATATATATATATATATATATATATATATATATATATATATATATATATATAACGACAATTACTTTTGAAAAGAAATAAAGATACTATATACCTATAGGAAATGGTGTTTAAGTGATTCTTGAAGTTCTATTAAATGTAATTACACGAACAATAATACTTTGAGCCAGATTTATTTAATATTTGTTTCCATAACACATGATTACATTTTACCATTTTGGGGAGGTTCAGCCAGAAAGCAAACCTTCCCTTCCCGCTCCCGTAGATCCATCTATGGTTTCGGAGGCTGTGTGGGATAACACGTTACCTGTAATCAGATAAAACCTAAAGTTTTATCCAATAATTATCATTCTACATCTGAAGTTTAGAATAATAAAATAATTATGAGTCTGCGCCCCGGAGCCAAGCGGGCTTTTCACTCTGTTATTAATTCCTCGTTAAAAGTACTGGAACGACTCTTAAGATAAATAGAAACTCATTCATTGGTGAATTATCTGAATATTTTTACTGAAAGTAGTAGCTAGAATGAATCACTGATCATTTGAAAACTATTTGTAATTTAATTTGTGGAAAAAATAATGCAAAAATGTCGCGTTTTAGGTTTATAGACGTCAATTATTTAGTTAAGGAATTTTGACGGTCATTTTATGGCAAAATACAAGACGAAATAGAAAAACTGAAATACATATTTCATATACTCTCACATATATATTTGATGGTTTGCGGAATTCATCTGTTTCACAAGTGTGCTCCCCACTCCTCAGAACATTTCTGGATCAGCAACTGTACCTGGCCATTTTTGGCACAGAAGGAGAGGTGTGGCTATAATCTAGGGGTATGGTCTGTTTCAACAAGAGATGTAAAAGGTCGGAATTCATTCCATATGTCTGACACGAAATAAATTTCAACTAACTCAGACCGGATTCGAACCGACGTCGTTTGACTCGAAAATGATAAAACATCATACGGCTTTAACAAGCTTAACGACTACGGTCTCGATGTCAGATACTAACACACTGTTAACTACTGGTGCATTAACCCTACTGTTAATTTCATCTCTTTCCTCATTGTCACCAAAGCAACCATAGTATAGAGGTCGTGACGGCCGAGGGAGTTAAAGTGTAAACTTTAACATGCATGAGTCAGAGGTAGACCCAGGATTTTCCTCAGGGGGGAAGCGCACCTCTGTACCAGGTGCTTCTCCCACTCCTATCCGTTTCCCCACCACTACCCATTTCCCCCCACTCCTTAGCTGAGTTTAGCCGCTCAAAAGTCCTTTTTAAATGGTTTTATCAAAAGCAAACTCTATTTTATTAAAAGTAAATTTTGTCTAGTTTACAGTGAAGCAATTACTTAAATTAAATAGTTTTTTGCTATCACTTCCTATTCAACAAAAAACGTGGCTTACATGAAAAATCACAAAACTTTAATTTCTTACTTTTCTGCTGAAAATTGAACCATTGTTTATATAAACTTTTTTGTATTTATTGAGTTCGGCTATCACTCCTTTAAACATTTCCCTCTACTTACGAGACACCCTGTGTATGGGTTTAGACATGTAAAAAACTGAATTGCTGAGACGGATCATTCCTATATTTCTCTTTTCTTTAAATAGCTGCTTTTTGGAACTTTTCCCCGACCATTCAGGGAAGAGAGAGGCGCCCCTCCCCCTCTCACAGGCTGGATCCGCCAGTACTGGTCATGATAATAATTTTTTCATCACAGAAAATTCCTCTTAGAGGATGAATTTTTCCTATATTTCCCTTTTCTTTAAATATGTGTTTTTTAAAAAATATTTTCCAACATCCAGGAAGAGCGCGCCTTATGGCAGAATTCGCTAGTGCATGGTCACGATTATATTTTTTTTTTTGTATTTCATTAGGAAATTCGTGTATGAGAATGAATTTTCCGTACATTTATCTTTTCTTTAAATAGGTTTTTTTGTCACTTTTTCGAAATTGTATCTCCCATCCATAGGAGGGCGCGCCCCCTGGCAGAATTCGCTAGTGCTGGTCACGATAATATATTTTTTTTATATGACATTAGGATATTCATCGTCTATGAGGATGAATTTTCCCTTCTCTTAAAATAGCTGCTTTTTGGCATTTTTATCAGCTTCCGGGGAGGGGAGGCGCGCCCCCGGCTGGATCCGCTAGTGGCTCGAGTCTATGTTTGAATTCGGCCTGGTTGGATTGAAATTTATTTCGTGAAAGGATCCATAGAATAAATCTGGCTCTTTCCCCTCGGGGTAGAATAGGGTTGGTTGTACCTATTGAACATCCTTCCATCCCATGTGCCATAAATGATGAAATAGAAGTTATCGAAAAAAAAATAAAAAGCATCCCTAGAGAACCAGACTATCGAATTTGAGAACCAAAAATACCGATTATTTACTTATTTCTTCTTCTTTAAGATGTAGTCTATCTTTCATTCTAAACTGAACAAAATCCGATGAGGAATTACTTTTTAGTCATACGATATAAAAAGAGGGTCGTAGTCACCGTCTTAATACCGAAGAATGAAACTAAATTTTTGACCTAAGAAAACGAAAATTTATTAAACTAACAATTACCCATGGTTATATTAATTCATACTTAAGAAATCTTTTTAAGAAAAGAAACATACGTTGAATAGTCTAAATAAACATTGGCACTAGATAAGAATCTTAAATGTCAGTAGTTTCCTCAATAGTGTAAGATAGAATTTAGTACGAATATGATTCATTGTGAAGTCAGTGTAAATTTCAGTTGAGAGACTTCTTTCATTAAAGGAGTATTATTAGAATTATTAATTAATCCAAACATAAATTATTGTTCTTTTAGTTGTGAATTTAATTACTACCAACTACCAACACTGGTTTAAATATAACCTCTTATCACTGTTATAAAGCTTGCTGTTGGTATTGTTTCTGTTGGTCCTTTTGATTATTATTAAAAGAAAATTACAACTTAGTCCAACAAATATACTTTTCATAATCATTAAATATTTGCAACAATCGATAGTATATTTTTCTGAAATTATGCCACCTTGACATTTCATAACTCTTAAACACTTAAATCATGGAATCTCCCATCACTAATGGTACTTCTCTTGTAGAAGAAAATAAAGACATTTCTTCGTTATCTGAAGTGACGGTGAAACCTAAAAGTGAAGTAGCGAAAATAGTTCCCAAAAATTCAAGCACTTTTGCTGAAATGAGATCTGGTTTTTCAGTAAGTAATTTCTTTATTTGTATATGTATCATTAAGATCTCATGTTATAATATTTTATTGTCTTTTATCAGGAGGAATTGACTAATTTTCTAGTTTCTGGGGACATTGAGAAAATCAAGCTAAAATGGAGCTCATATCAAGCGAAGTAGGTTTCTCATTACTATTTAGTTTATTTATTTTATGTTTTATTTCTCATTCATTACATTTATTTCAGAGATATTACAAAAAGAGTATCAATGGAACAAGCAGTTAGAGACAAAACCGTGACGTTAATTAATAACTCCAACCAACCTAAGTACATTGATGATTTAAAGAAGTTGTTAAACGGAGTGATACTTCTGTGTAAAAATGAACTTGCTACAGTGTTATTTTCTGTTAATATTCTTAGTGACATTATAGATACTTCAACTTTAGCCGTATGTGAAAAGTTATTTGACTTTATTGAAGAACACCTACCGACATGGAAGAGCAATACTTTTTTTACAGCTTGTAAAAATAATATTCTTCGGGTATGCAATGGTGAGTTGTGTTATTTTTATATTATGACTTAATATTATTTGTAGAAAAGTATTTAATGTAGAAGAGAGCACCTGTAAAACTATTATATATAGTCCGAATTCGCCCAAAAATTAAAATCATTGATCTTATGAACAGTTTATTACATATCTAAGAACTTGTTCCAGAAATGGGATAATCATAATCAGTGATCACTATTACAGTTATGCCTATCTCTGACTAGTACCAACCATCAACCGGTTACAAGATCCTCTAGAGCTCATTATTCCTATATTCCCAAGGTATGTTGAAAGTGATAGAGTATTGACAAACTCGTTTAGGTCCAGCGATAGAACTGCCTTGACTTGAACGTACTGTTTAGCTTATATTCCTGCCTTCCTAAAGGTACTATTTTGATGGTACTGCCCATGGCAGCAACAGCCATTCCATACTGCAAACCATTAATGTTTGTCTATTTTGCTGAAACTGCTCACTGTCATGGCCAAATCCTTTCAATTAAGCATTCTAATTTTAAATAAAAATGTTACCCTGAAATTTCATGATTTTCATTTGTATCGGAAGGACAGTAATATATATGATGACAGGGATTCGATCTTATATAACTAATACACGCCATTGTTTCTGGTAGTTGTAGTGGAATAACGGGGTTAGGTTATGCCTGTATTATAACAATTACCTATATAAATGCCCCCTTTCAACTAAATAGTAGTTTCTTGTAATATTTTAAATAGAAAAAGTCAGCCTCATGTTAGAAAGAAGATGGCAAAATATTATTTTGAGAATGTATCTCTGATTTTAAATGTATTACTTCTTAGTAGTATGATCACTTCAATAATAAATATATATATATTTGTAATGAAATCACAGGAGACAATGTTTTGCCATTTTATCAATAGTTAATCAGTATGATTAACTAAATTAATTGAATTCTCATTTAATTTTGCCTGACTTGAATAAATAAAAAAGGAAATGAAACATATCATGGTGACTGTGATCATCAAAACAATTCTCTGATACGATAACATAACCTACCACCGTACTGCCAAAGCTTCACTGTTTCAGGAGCATTCAGAAAGGAGCAGTATAGATATGGCATCATATTTAAATTGCCAAGCAGTACCAACAAACCAGGTTCTTTTCTATTCCCCTAAAGCAGTGATTAACTGCTAGCAGTTGGCACGATGGGCAGTACCTTAAGGAAAACAAACTTTTATCCACTGCTAAAATCTCAAATCGGCTTAAAAAATAATTGTAATTCAAATAAGTTTATTAAATAATATTTAAGTAACCTGATTCATGTGATGAATAACTTAGATCTGACTTTATCTAATGTGAACATTGTGTATAATTGAGTACAAATTTTCCTCCTAATATGCTAATTACCCATAATTCTAAGAGTTTTAATCGGTACTTTCATATATTTTCAAATACATTTGGGTATTTTTGAGAATCCAGGAATGTGCTGTGGGTGGTGATCTTGACACTGGTGTAATCTGGGGTAGTGAAACGAATGTAGTACCCTGACTTTTTCCAACTTTTACTTTTTCTTTTTATTAATTCTATCCTTTATCCATTATTAATATTAATATATTAGCCTGTTTATTCTGGGAAAAGTTCCTTTTGAATTATACACAAGACCAAAGTTATAGGTTTTAGAGCTTCAGGGTAACAATGAAAAATAAGATATAATCAGAAATCAAGCAGTAACCTCTATTATTAGCACTTTTAAAATAAAAATATGACACTAACATTAAATAATAAAAAGATTATAAATGAGAACAAATAATTTAATATGTCCATGCGGGATTTAAATTTGGGGAAGGTGTTAGAGTGACGGATGTGGGAAGGAATGAAATTCCTTAGGGACGAGGATTGGATAATGAAAGATCAGTCAAATATCGCTGATCAGTGGGCTTTAGTCTATAGATTTGAAGACTTGAAGCAGATATTAAATTGAGATTGAAACCTATTACAGTTGTCTTCATCGCTGCATTCAACTTCAACTTATTAGCTTCTCCCCAGTCATAGATTCTATTTAAGTCTTCTTGAAGTTTTTCTATTGCTGGTAATAGATCGGAAGGCAGGAAGGAGCAGTACATTTGGAAGTCCTCGGAATAACTATGGTATTGGAACTGTTGAATCCTTTAAGGAAGGTTATTAATATAAATAGTAAACAGAGTGGGGGTGAGGTAAATAGAGATGAACTCTGAGAAACACTGCTGATGAGGAGTAGTGCCTTGGATGGAGATTGACCACATTCTGTGACCGATCTGAGAGGAAGGATTTGTAGTTCGGTGAGGAGGATGTTATGATAGCCTGTGTCTAAAGCTTTTAAGAAATCTAGAAGGATGAGATTAGTTAGATTCTGGTGTTTAATGGAAGTTTGGAGTATGGGTTTATTTTAAAGAGAAAGGATTGATTTTAGAAGCAAGATTGGAGAAGATTAATGAGGGGAAGTTCTAATAGGAACTTGGAAAATTGATTTTGTACAAGCCGTCCAAGAGGTTTTTAGAGGAGCGAGATAGGACGGTTTTTCTAGAAGTAGACATTATGTAGTTTTTCAAAGAAAATTTGTGGATATGATAAAGAATTGGATTAAGAACAGGATTTTATCAGTTTTACATGATTATTTTAGGAACATGAGATTTAAGGAGAGTGGTAAGTAATTTTTGTAAGGCACGTGGGAGAAAAATAAGTTTCCTGGGTTGAAACAGTGGTATTCAATAGCAGAGGTAGGAGAAAAGGACAAGAAATGGTCGTTAAGATCATCTGGGATGACTAGGAAGGAGCTAAGATTTTTTGTTTTATTTCTTGTGGATAGTTTTCGGAATATTTTCCGTGTGGATCCGGAACGTTGAGATAGAGAGATTTGGCACTTGAGACAGCAGATTGTGTTCCATTTTGAAGTTCTTTGAAGGACTCATAATCAACTGGCGAACAGGTCTAACGATATGTGGGTCTAGCTGCTTCCTTTTTTTTCCCTTCATTTCTTTTATTTCAGGAGTCAGCCGAAGAGCAAGAGAACAGCGATAATTTGGGTTTTATAGGAGCATGAATATCTAATACAGGTTGTAGAAAGGAGAATAGAATTATAGGAATATATATTCCATTAGATAGAATCTAGGTCTGGTTGAAATTATTTATTAGAAAGGAAGTCCAAACTGAGCTTTGATACCACTTTCAGAGTAATGGATTTGATGGGTAGGTCTTAGCACAGATAGATGTTGGGTTGTTATATAATTCTTATTGGTGCTTGATGTTAGCTTATTTAGATTAATGTTCGCCACTCAAAATCTTAACACATTGGATATGTTGACTTTTATCATTTTTTTAAAAATATTTTTTAGCCAACAGATTGAGATAATATTAAATTAACGTTTTATTTAATTTATTTTTTAGTTTTATTTAATACAAAATTGATTTCCCGATATTGAGTTTGTATGCATTACCATATATATTTACTTGATTGATGCGATGTTCTGGTGATGTAATGTTTACAATTTGTTTAATTTATTACATGGATGGATAATCAATTTATAATGAATTATTAATGTTCCAGACCTACTACGACGATTATCAAAAGCACAAAATACTATATTTTGTGGGAGGATTCTTTTATTTTTAGCTGTTTTTTTCCCATTCTCTGAACGATCAGGTATCTATAATCTTCTACATTTATGACATGTAACCTTTTTTTTTTTTATTCACATTAGTTTTAATTGTTTTGATAGATACATAATTTATTTTACTGGTTTTCAAATTAATAGTCATAGTAAGATAAAAGTTTCACTTTTTTTTTTAATTAATGACTCAAATATCTGCTAGAACTAATACAGCTTGTTTAATTAATTCATGTGTGCTTCTACAAGTTAGCTTGTCAGTTAAAAAAAAAATTATAATATGTATGACCAAAGACCCCTGCTGTGGTAACTAAAAAAAAAAAAAGCAATATTACAAAAACATTAAAAAATATTGCTGGAAAATCTATAGTTAATATTTTCATTTCAAGCTGTCGTAACCTCCATAAGCTTAAAGTATTCACTGTTTTGTAACTATGAACAAGATTTATTGTTAATCAGTTTGCAAGAATTGCCCACCAATTATTTATAAAAGGCATTATTTGTCATCCGAACTGTTATTTATTTTGATTTTACATTCCTATGTAATACCACATAATAGGTCTTCTAAGTACAATGACAGCTTTTTACACAGTTTATTCAGTAGCATTATTAATCTGCTCATTTTATAGTAACTAATAAAAAATCGCGTGGTTGTTTTTTTAAGTGAGTATGATATAAAAACCTTGTTCTTTTATTTGAGGATTTTTTTTTTTGTATGATAACATTTATTTTGTTACTTACAAAGTATCTTTACTGAGCATTAAATTTAGAAAAATTGATTTATGAAAAATGATAACTGAGAGTATCTAGCTACAAAAGTTCTTCAAATAACTGTGTGGTATGTCAAAACTATCAACTTTTTATTAACCAATATGAATATGGATACTTACATAATTTGATTTGTAACTATTTTTGTTTTCTAGGTTTAAATATTGTCAGTGATTTTAATATCGATAATTTACACAAGTATGATCCTAAATTTGATCCATCTGAAGAATCTATTGAAATTGTGGATGTTTCGTAAGTTTTTATTTTACATGTTTATCTAAACAATTTTTATTATCATTAAGAGAAGGATGGTTGGGGTGATCAGTCAAAAATAAAAATGGCAAAAATAAATAATAATATTTATAGACGCAATAAATGAATATTATTATTTATTTTTGACTGATCACCCCAACCATCCTTCTCTTCAACCATCAACCCACAATTTATTATCATCAATTTATCATTATTTATACTCACAAACTGTTAATACTGAGGTTCAAACAGCTCATAATTAGTCTCACAACAGCCTAAGCAGAGGTACACTGGGCATAGTAGATAGATAGATAGATAGAAAGTAAACTTTATTCTGGGACGAGGTCCCTTATGAATAACAGATATGAACAAAAAAATAAAAACTATATCTGGCCAAAAATTATATTAGTCAATATTACAGAATATATACAGTATCCTCAGTAAAATTATATTAAAACAAGTAAAAATAACACCATTATGAAAAAAACAAAATAAAGAAAACATTATTTAAATGAAAACAAAATAAAATAAACATGGGTTGATTTTTAAATTTAAAACTTATCAATTTTAACAATCATTCACCTCAGTCAAAATCTGTTTCGCAATATTTATTTCATTGCATAACGTCATTTTGGGATGTGAGAAGGAATTGGTAAAGATGATATTTAAATGAGGACAAGGAAGTGGCATATCAGATATCAGATGGCAAGGAATTCCAGAAGGCAGTGGATCGGGCAATAAAGGAATATTCAAACATCTTAGTTCTGTGGGAAGAGATATAAAGGTCGGAGACACGGGATCTTGTTTTCTGGGAGTGGACCCCGGGTTTAAACTGCAGGAGACTGTAGATGTAGGAGGGGTGTCGGGTGTTGATCGTTTGGAATAGGAAAGATCCAAGGAAATATTGCCTGCGGAAACAAGGGAAGAGCCACTTTAGCTCGTCGTAAAGACGGGACACATGAGACCGCCTCGAAGTACCGAAGACAAATCTAAAGCAGGTATTCATGAGTGGCTTCAATCTATCCTCGAGTATCATTGGGATGCCTCCAGTACACCACACAGCCGTAGTCAAAGTGGGGGAAAATAAGAGAGGATACAAGGAGCTTGCGGATGGGTTTTGGGAGTAGGTGGCGGGAGTGATGAAATAGCTTAAGGGTACCTATTGACTTACGGGAGATGAGGGCGATATGGGGTTTCCAGGAGAGGTTTTCGTCTACGGTGATTCCTAGGTTTTTAACGGAGGAATTGAATGTGATAGGATGATCGTTGATGACTAAAGGAGGAAGGAAGGAAATGGATTAAGAATAGAACTGTAGTATGATCTATAGTAAGGTCCTTTGTATTTATATATTATATTTAAGTATTGCTCCCCCATGATGCTTAAGAACTACGCATTTTAGTTTTATTAGTATTGTTTCACAATCATTCATAAAGGTTCAGCCTTCTTCTAATGACATATATTTATCTTTTTTCTAGATTCTCTTATGTCAGAAAATATTAATACTTTTTCCAGATTTATTAGAGCTTGTAGAATTACAATGAAACTGCTTCACTTTTCTATGAATAGCTAGAATGAGCCAAAAGACTTTTCCATATGAGCCCTTGGTTTCTAATAATTGAGATTAATTACAGTAGAAATGCCTGACCTCTCTCCTTGCCATGGATATTTTATTCATTCATTATACCTCATTCCTGTAAGGCACTTTATTAGTATTCATGCTTTGGTATTTAGCCTTGAATGAAGCTTTCTTCACCTGGCTTTGGTATTCACTAGATCGCCATTTTATTCCAGAGATCTTGCTTATCCTAGCAGTCTCTGCTGCTTCCATCCACTACTCTGTTCAGATGCACATTAAGAGGCAGTGCAAGAAAAAATTGAACTCATTTTCTGATTCAATTAAAGTGTCATGGCCGAAACTGAGGTTCTATATTCGTATCGTTCCGTCTTTGCTAGTTTGTTATGTGCTTATTATCTCAAATCCTGTTCTCAGACTTTGTAAACAGTGAGTTTATAAACAATTTAACATTTTTACATTACAATCAGTGAGGTGAGTGACTTTTATTAACAATTAGCAACATTAAATTGGTACTCGATTGCTAGAGACAGTTTACGTGGCAGATAATTCCCCTCAGCGGGTCTTATCTTTCAAATTCAAGGTCACGGCGCTTTATTTTACGTTCAGAATATCTTGAGTTCGTACCTAAGACGTTATATATTTTTTTTTTTTCTACTGAGACTCTATTTTATTTATTTATAAAAATGTTTTTTTTTAATATTTGTATATATATTTGTAAATAGATTAGTTATTAAGTATTTGTTTTGTAAATTTTCTTATTAGTGATACTTTTTTTTTCTCTCTCTCTTCTTTTTGTATATATTATTATTTAGAGGTATGGATTCTGATAAGAACATTTCTTTTGACGAATCAGATGAAGAGACTCCTTTCTCCGAAATCAGTGAGACTGATTCTCAATATTTAACAAGACGAACTCTCCAAAAGCGCCATAGAAACTCTGCCTCCGGTTCGGCGGGCAACTCACCTAATAAAAAAAAAAACAAATCCGCTAAAACAAAGCAAGCTCTCAAAGTAAATAAACAATCAAAAACTAGTAATAATTCAGCTATGAAACCTGACACTAAACCATCAACTAACACATCCAGTAACAATTCTGTTACAGCCAATAATAAAATTAACGAAATCACTGAACCTAGAACTTTCACTGAACCAGTGCCACCTCCGATTTATGTAAGCAAGATTGACAATTTCATTCAGTTCGGTCAAGAAATAGCTAATCTGATCGGAGCGACCAACTTCCGGTGTTTTTCTCGAGTCAACGATATAAAGATTAACACCAATACTAAAGATGATTATAAAAGACTTATAAATCATTTGACAGCACTCAATCACGACTTCCACTGCTATCAACTAAAAGAAGACAAAACATATAGAGTGGTTTTGAGAGGTCTTCACTCTACCACACCCACTACCGCTATAAAAAAAGATCTGGAAGATATCGGCCATTCGGTAAGACATATATCTTCTATTTTACATCCTATTGATAAATATCCACTGCCATTATTTTTCATCGATCTAGAACCAGCCCGGAATAATACAGAAATCTTCGAAGTTAAAAGACTGCTGTATTCTGTTGTAAAATTTGAAGAGCCGAGGCAGAAACCAATAGTCGTTCAATGCACCAAGTGCCAAAACTTAGGGCATACAAAGGCTTACTGCCATCACTCGGTGCGTTGCGTTAAATGCGCCGGGCCTCACGCCTCTAACACCTGCCAGAAACCGTTAAATAAACCACCAAAATGTGCCCTTTGTGGTGAGGACCACCCTGCAACCTATCGGGGCTGCATTATCTATAAGAAGCTATATAAGCAAAGAACTTATAATTTATCATTAAAAGAAGAACAGAAGAATTCTACCCAGGCACAGGTACAGGCACCTGAACTCCTAAATTTGGCAGCGTTTCCTCAACTGCCGAACGAAATAATACCACAATTGACGCACAACCCTTCTACATCAACAGATCATCCCCATCAAGACTCTAGGCACCTATATTCAGACACCACGGTGAAGAATCAACAGCCGCGACGTCAGACGCCTCAGATTTCCAAAACTAAGACTCAGGCTTCCAAACCTAAGATCCAGACCTCCCAATCCAAGACTCAAATCTCCCACATTCATTCAAAATCTCCACGTCAGCAAATGCCTCCTCATCAGATACCTATACGTGTAAAATTACCGCCCGAACATCCAACTCCTGTTTATTCCCACCCTACTGCTCATATTTACTCTCCTTCCCAAGTTCCAAGGGTACATCCTTCATCAGACACTCCTTATCATAAGATCTTTCCCTCACGAACTCCTAATCAAAACCAACCTGACCAACAAAACCCGATCGATTTAATAAACTCCACCCTTGCGTCCTTCCTGAAAGATCTCCAAGAGACTATCAAGCCACTAATTACCCTCCTCACAAGAATCCTTACCGAAATTCCCTTCAATCTCTCACGATGAGCACTAAGCCCCTAGCTGTTCTTTTATGGAATGCTAACGGACTACAAAACCACCGAGACGAACTCGACATTTTTCTTCATGACTATCACATTGATATTGCTCTACTGACAGAAACTCACTTCACTCGACGTTCATATTTCTACATACGTGACTATATCACTTATAGATCAGACCACCCCGACAACACTTCCCATGCCGGTTCTTGCATCCTTATCCATAAATCCTTATCCCATTCTCTCATTCCTTCTACTCCAACGGAGGCTATTCAAGCAACCTCGGTTATCATTTCAACTCGTCCTTTCCATTTAACATTCTCAGCTGTATACTGTCCTCCCGGTCATACTCTTACCTATAACTTACTTGAATCCTTATTTCAATCCTTCGGATCGCGCTTTATTGCTGGAGGAGACTACAATGCTAAACACCAACGATGGGGTTGTCGATCATCCAACTCCCGTGGTAACATACTATCTTCTGTCTCAACTTCCAATAGTTACTCTGTCCTCTCTCCTATGAATCCTACCTATTGGCCAACATCCCTCAAAAAACGCCCTGATATCCTCGACATATTTGTCACCTCCCAAATTTCCTCTTCCCATGTCACAATAAAATCCCTGGATGACCTCTCCTCAGATCATTCTCCAGTTCTGCTTTCATTACACACAACCTTCGCTCCTAAGCCCTCGTCCTCTCCTACACTGATTACAGGACGAGTAAACTGGGACAATTTTCGTAAAGACCTGGAAAATAAATTGGACCTAAATATTCCACTTAAGACGAAACGTGATATTGACACAGCCATAAAAGAACTTACTACATCTATAAGTGACAAAATAAAGAATAATACATCTACCAATAAAACTGACAACTCCCAACAGACAAATTTGCCGCAGCATATTCGTATCTTATTAAGGGAAAAACGCAGAGCAAGATCGAAGTGGCACAGGACTAGATATCCATCAGATAAGACATATTACAACAAATTAACTAACCAACTAAAAGCTGAAATTAGAAAATACAAAGTTCAAAATTTACATAACATGACAGAAAAACTTACTACTTGTGACAAATCACTATGGTTGACCACTAAAAAACTCCTTAAATTCAAAGATTTTAACCACCCACTTATTACTGAAACCCAAACCTGGTCCAGATCTGATGATGAAAAATCTCAAATATTTGCTCAACACCTCTCAAAAACATTTAATCCACACCCAGACATCCTTAATCCAACCCACCTTGAGTTTATTGAAGCAGAATTGGATACCCCACTCCAATTGACTCCTCCACCTAAAGCATTTCATCCTTCAGAAATATCCAATATCATTAATAGATTACCTTCTCGCAAAGCTCCTGGCCATGACCTAATCACCTCCCAGATCCTAAAATGTCTTCCTAAAAAAGCCATATTGTTCCTAACCTATATATTTAATGCTGTACTCCGCACCACATATTTTCCTGACTCTTGGAAACTATCCATTGTCAAAATGATACCTAAACCCACAAAGCCGCCAGAACACCCATCCTCTTACCGTCCTATCTCCCTTTTACCCATTATGGGCAAAATCCTGGAAAAACTCATTTTAAAACGCCTGTATCCCATCCTAGACTCTAAACACATTATCCCAGATCACCAATTTGGATTCCGCACATCCCACTCCACTATTCAGCAATGCCATCGTGTGGTAGATGTAGTCTCCTCTGCATTGGAGCGCGGAATGTACTGCACGGGAGTCTTTCTCGACGTTGAACAGGCGTTTGATAGAGTCTGGCATCCGGGACTGATGTACAAACTCCGTGAATTCCTACCACCTACATACTTCCTCATTATACGTTCCTACCTTACTGACAGATACTTCAAAGTCAATCATAACAATGCTTATTCATCTCTTTTTACTCAGTCTGCCGGTGTTCCTCAAGGTAGTATCCTAGGTCCTATCCTTTACACAGTTTATACAGCTGACATCCCAACCCAATCCAACACTGTCATCACCACCTATGCCGATGACACGTGTATCCTATCAGTTAATAACGATCCTTTAATTGCATCCCAAACTCTTCAATCACATATCACAAGCCTTGAAGAATGGTGTAAAAATTGGAGAATAAAAATAAATTCCAACAAATCCCATCAAATCACTTTTACCCTCCGTCGTAAACCTATGACCTCTTGTCCTACAGTATCCTTCAATAATACTCCACTTATTCCTGTTGAGCAAATCCGCTACTTAGGACTCCACCTTGACAAACGACTCACTTGGAACCCCCATACCAGACTGAAACGACTAGAAACCGCCCGACGTTTTCGACTACTGCAGCACTTACTAGACAAACGATCTAAGCTTTCAATCAATTATAAACGACTCGTATATATGACAATAATAAGACCTATTTGGACTTACGGAATTGAGCTTTGGGGCTCCACTAAACCATCGAATTCCTCTCGTATCCAATCCTTACAATCCAAAATCCTTCGTAAAATCCTCAACGCTCCTTACTTTGTCACAAATAAAATCATCCATAAAGACCTTAATGTTCCATATGTTTCCGATCTGGCCCAATCCAGATACCTTTCCTTCCATAACAAACTGCAGAATCATCCGAATCCTCTCGTTTCAAACCTTGCTTCCTCCTCGATCCCTGATAACCCTCCGAGGCGTCTGAAAAGAAGATGGCCTCGGGATCTTCTAATATAGAACTTTAATTTGAGTTCTACCAATGGGTAGTTTCTCTTCATGTTGTACATGCCATGTTACAAATTTCTCATTTACTTATTGTATTCTCTATGTAATACAGTTGTAAATTCCATTAAAATAATTAAAAAAAAAAAAAAAAAAAAGTTTCTGATTCGGTTCACGAGTGCCAGTCAATGCCATATAATATATGTATGAATTTGTTTTTGCTCGCACTATCCTTTTCAACTAAACAAGCCATAAAAACTGTGCCTCTGGGTGCAGTAGGCTTCAAAAAGGAGAAATTCAGTTATAATTAGGGCACTATTTGTCCCAATACACTGGAATAGAGATGATTCATTTCTATCTCCATCTCTTCTCTTATCTAATTGGCTGTATCAACATTCAGCTGTGAATTATTATGCTGTTATGGATTATTCTAAATTACATTGTATTCATTTTTTGAAAATGTGCTTTTTAAATTATTATTCAAAACAATTGTTCAAAAAATATTTTATCTGTTAAGGATTTGTTGCCATTCATTTGCACATTTTTGTAGGATTGATACTGGTCTAATATCAAAGTGTATCTTATTGAAAATACATGAGGAGAGACTTTAAGGTGCCATTTTTTTTGTTTTATTTGCATTACTATCCAATGCTTATACATAATCTCAAGTTGTAACTATCAATTCGGAAAATTAAGAAAGGAATTCTAAGCTGAAACACTTGGTAAAAATATGAATTTTAGTTTCAAAAAGTGCTGTATTACAAACATTTGGCAGTATTTACTCTAAATGATAACTTTGGAATTTACCTCACATTGTCTTTAATAATTTATATTAATCATAGATAACATTCATTCACTGGCAGATGTTAATACAAAAAATGTATAATCACTAAAATCGTACTTTTTTTCTTATTCTAGGACAAAGGTTGATAATAATTTTCATTCTAAGTTTTGGACTCTTCAAGATTTCTTCAGGAATCCAAATCATTGCTACAATAAGACTCAGTGGAAGGAGTTTGTTGAGGTAAGTTGATGGTGCACTAGTATTATAAAACAATATGTGTATATAATGTGAATTATAATAATAAATATATCTTCTTAGGAGAAACATTGTTCAAATGCAAAATCATAAATGTAAACCACTCAAAATCATTTTTAAAACATGCATTTCTAAAGTTTTTCTAATATTTTCTTGAAAAAATGGGATACAACTTGTACAGCAAACTAAAATTATAATTCTTATTTTTAGTTAATATGCATAGTTTTATATTAAATTTCCAGCTAATGATGTTTTCAGATTTTTTAATGCATTAAAAAAAGTAGTATAGTATTCCTATTTAATGACATTTTTTTTTTCCTCAACATAATAAAAATTAATAAATTATTAAAAATCATTAACATGGGCAACACCTTTATACCAAAAAATAATGTTCAAAATTTGTAGAAAACCAAAAGATTATCTTAGGGGCATGTTTAAACATCATTACTGTAATGATTTCTAAGATTCAATCACTGGCCAAACCATCACTCTTAGGAGGCATACCCAACATAAGACATTGAAAGGAAATGGCAGTTTTCAGAATTATCTTGCCCATCCTTGGTTACTCACCTGAATCTTACATCTTGAAAAATAAATTTTCTTTTTTTAATTCCGCTGTACTGTATGTGTTTTGATTGAGGAATGATTGGAGAAAAGTAATGAAAATAAAAATCAATAAATACAATTCTATGTTCATAAAACATCTCTGAACTCCTTACAATTAGACATTAATTTTCTCTCTCAAAAAAAAAAAAAAAGTCACCTGTCTGTGACTTGATGCTGTAGGGAAAGCTTGCTGCTAGTTGATTCATCAAACCACAATTTGCAGTAGCTGCCTGGATTGACAAATGGTTGAAGATGGTGCCCTATAGTTTTATAGAGAATATGAGGGAAACACATAGAATTGCTGTTATGAATGAGAAAGTCCATTCATGTTAATGATAACATAAAAATATGTTCTGTAAATTGTTAGAACTATTTTTTTTATTTTTTTTATATTGGTATACGCTAATGTTTTCTGAATTTATTTTTAGATTACAAATTTGGTTCTTGGGACTTTTAAGAAAAATAAATTGACAAGAGAATCGGTTGACAGGCTATGTCTGAAATATAGATCTCAATATTTCACTAAATTTCTTACATCACATAAACTACTTGTTCTTCAATTAAGCGATACAAACTTCCGAAGAACTATTTGCCTTCAGTTGCTAATGCTATTTCAATACTTGACTGGGCAGATTAAAACAAAGCCGTAAGTATTAATGTTAAATAAATAAATTATATGGATTATAATTATGATATATTAGTTTTGGTTTATCATCAATAAAAAAGTATTTTTAGGCCTATTAAACGTTGTATTATTTTATACAGGTTATTAAAGAAGTAATGATAAAAATTAAAAATAATAATAAAAACTAATTTTTTTAAGAGTTAAAACAATAAGATGTTTAGTGAAGTATCACACTTGACAGCTATAATTATCCCTTTCTCATTATTTCACTTCATTTGTCACATATACTAGTCTTCAACTTGAACCAGATTTATTTTGATCTATTCTTGCATATTAAAAAAATGTTTTGTCAAAATTAATCAGGAACTTGTTATCATGTGTTGACATCAAATTACCAAGAGGTAATTTAACTGAACTTAATATCATTATAAAGCAAAGAAAACAAGACCATTTGTTTTAACTAATTTAAACAAAATAATAATTAGATAAATAAATAATAATAAAAACGAATATTTGGTGCCTATTTTCAGTGTAACATAGGTATATAAGTTGAAGAAAAAAAATCCCAGGCATAATCTTAAATTTGATTGATTTTAATTCTGTTATAGACGATTAAACATAAATATATGAGTTTATAGAATGGTTAGTCACCAAATTGACAATTTCGTCCTTAGATATTAAATATTGAAATTATCTATTATGGCCAGAGTTTGAGAATTCCTGATCTAGTTCTACTGGCTTCTCAAGTGAATTTGGGATGAAGATATGGTCCTTGAATTTTGAAGTAATTTTATTTGTAGATCACAGGAGAATAATCCCCCTAAAGTTAAAGTAATCAAGAATATCTTTTTTGTGTAGTGAAAGTATAGTATCCACCTTCCTTTGGTCTAGTGTCTTTTTTTTGGCCTGAGTTGAGAGAATGAATTCCTTTATTTTTTTATGATATATATGAAAAGTGATCAAGATATCATTTAGTTTAATAGTAAGATTTCTACAATTATTGAAATTTCATTAATTGATGTTGCACCAACTAATGTTCCTCTTAATGTTTTTTTGTATTTTTTATTGCACGACTCGTTTCCTGTCATAATTATAACGTGTTTATTGACTAATTAATATTATCTATTTTTCAACTTTCTTATTTTTAATGTTACCACGACACAATCTTTCATGAATAATACTTTCTTTTGAGGTTGGATTAATCATCTGGTTGAGCTGAAACCTTTTTTAACGTATAAATAAATAATTAAATTTACAATTTTCATTATAGTTTGTATTATTACATGTATTGATTCCTTTTAATACAGTGATTTGCTAGGTTATTCTACATTACACAGTTTCATCAATCTAAAAATATTAATGAGCTATGCTATATTTTGTGGTACTGTATAATAAATCAATTTTGCGTTTTAATCACAGTTATTTTTGTTTTGTTTTTTAGTATTTGTGTGATCTTTATGACTAGTGCTAGAATTAATTAATATTTTATTACTTAGTTTACAAAAAATTGAAAATTAATATAATTAACTTGAATATATGTGTGTGTAATTTGTATTTATTTATAAATTACAAGAGCGACAGTAAAATATAAATAAATATTGTGGCCTTCATTATAGATGTCTAACCTTGCTGCGTCCTCTATTGATAAAAAGATTCCACACCTATGGTATTTACTTTTCAGTCATAGACACACACCTTTGATTAGCTGTAGATGTATGAGTATCTCATAAGAAAGAATGTGGATTATAAACAAAATGGCATACTATAATTTTTGTTTTTTATTTAGAATGTATAAAATATATAAGCAATTTTTTTTTTCTATTTTGAGCACTTAGACACTTCTATTAAGAACTTCACAAAATTTATTTCATCGTAGTTTGGGATAGTTAGGGAAAACTGCCTATTTTAATGTAATATAGGTTATGAGAATAAAAATTCCATTTCTTAAGATATTAGGTTGCCTCCACAAACCATTCTTTTATTTAATTACCCTATTGTTATGACATATCAGCAATCCTCAAAAATAATAAATTGCATCTGGTTCCCAAGTAAAATATTTTTTCTCCTTTTGATTTGTTTACTGTAGGCACTTTGTTTTATCATTCCCCATAGGTTGCAGAACTATCGGTGAACATTAAAATATTCAGTTGTAGGTACATCGGATTGTCACATAGTAATATTTTTAAACTCACAATGTTTCTTCCCTGGTCGCTAGGATCGAGGCTGATGGTGTTATGTCTGAGACCTATATCATATACCTAATTGTCTATAATCGAAAAAGTATATAATGAGTTTTATAATGAGCCTTATAAATAAAATTATTTCATTATCCTCAAAAATTTTATGCAAATATAAGAAAAGTTGCTAAAATTGACTAAATGCGTACTTTTGTATCATTCCTTCAGTGTCTTTATTGGAGTTATACTTTTTTTTCTTTTTAGAACTGTCCATGAGTCCTTACAGTCTTTACTATTCATTTTTCTTTTACAATGACTGACTTTTTCTTATAAGATGTTACCCTCTCAGTAGAAAATCCATTTTCATAATATAACAATAAACAATTCTAAAAAAAAAAATAATTAAATCCTTCTTGATCTTTAGCCATTAAATTTAGAAATCAGCCCCATGGCTATTTTTCTTCTATTTTTTACTCAAGGAAAGAGAGCTGTTTTAGCATATTACATTTACGTGGTAGCGGTATTCATGCACTTGCAAATGCTATCATGCTAAGCAGTCAGCACAAATTTTGAATGAAGGGTAAATAACCTGTCTGTGCTAAAGTGTTATGTTATTAATTGATATATTAACGTTTTGATATATTTTTAAAATGCTAAAGCAAAGTTAAAAGACTGAATTTCTGGATTATTTGGTAAAAAATGCTTTGTTAGAAAGCATGAATAAAGATTCAGATGATTCAGAAGGCAAGAAACTTGATGAATACATAGATGAAATTCTAGTTGTTTTTATATTTCATTTCTGTGGATATTGTATACAAACAAAGAATCAACTAACACATCAAAACCTTATAATAATGTAATAACCTTCTCTGTGTTTTTACGAATTTAGCAACACTTTAAAGGACCCTAGACTACGTTAAAATCGAGGTAGCTATCAGCCATATTTAACACTTCTTTTGCTACCTCCTCAGTGCCATCAGCATGGAGGACCAGTCTCGGCCCATCTCGTCCACTGATCCCTGCCACTGGCCCTCCTTCTCATATCCACCATGGTGCTACCTATGGTTCGGCCGAGTCTCTCCATGTAGTCACAATACAACAGTCTCGTCCTGCCTCTAGGTTGCCTTCCCTCTGATATTGCGTCTAGGAACCATTTTGCCTTTCGACTATTACCCATCCCGTAGACATGGTCAAACCACTTCGGTTGTATCTCCTCCATGACTTGTTTTACTGGCCTTATGTTCAGTTCCTTTCGTTCCTCCAACAGTCTATTCGTGTTTTTTAAGAACTCTCCTGAGGTATCTCATTTCTATGGCCTTTACTTTACTTGCATGTTTGTCCAGGATCGTCCAACTCTCTGCACCGTACAAAAGGACAGGCAGAAATACTGTTTTAAACAAAGCTATTTTTGTTTTCTTCCTTACCTCCTGTTTCCCTGATATTGTAATGCAGATGGAGTAAAATTGGCCTTCTTGACTCTATTTAAAACCTCCTGGTCGATCCTTCCATCTCTGCTGAAAATCGTGCCCAAGTACTGGTAGTTATCTACCTTTTCTAATGACTTATTATTACATTTTATGGGAACTTCCTCTTCCACATCTCGGCTGACGAGCATCACCTTGCTTTTTTTAGGGTTTATTTCCATTCTCTTCCTCTGGAGTTCTAATCATTATTCATTGACAAGCATCTGAAGCTTTTCTTGAGTGTCGGCAATCAGGGCCATGTCATCTGCATAAAGCAGAGCTTGTGCCTGCACAGGAATTAAATTCTAGTACCCCACTATTGCTCTGGATGTCCTTCACTTACAAACAAATTCAACACACATTTTGTAAATAATCTTCTCAACTTTACACATGTAAGAGTTTTACAATAGTTAGCACTGGTTGCATGAATACCTCTAATGTGTATAAATGATGCTAAGTTTTAAATAGAAAGTGGACGTTCTTCAATCTTTTCATTCTTTGTCAATTGATCAATATTGATAAATTAAAAAATAAAAACCCTCAGGAGTGACCATTGATTCAGCAATATTGATTTTTTTTTTTTTTTATTCACATTTAATAAAATTTCATTAATCTGTCTATCCATGTAATGTTCACTCCTTACAAATAATTTGTTATTTTCACCAAAATACTCTAGGCCCCCCTAGCAAATAAAAAAAGAGGGGGACAAGCGCAAACTCTGTCATTAAATATGTCACAAAATTTTTCTCTTTAGAAGAATATTTAAATTAAATTAATTTGTTGGTCCATTCTATAAACAAAAAAAAAAAAAAAAAAAAATGAAGATGCACTTATCCCAAACAAATAGAATCATCATCATCATGTATGGCACGACATCCCGTTACCGAGACTGGGCCTCCTCCAAGAGCCTCTGCCAGTTGGCTCTGTCTTCTGCTGCAGCTCTCCAGTTCCATACACCAAGCAGGGTTCTCGCAATCATAGGCCATGTTGTCCAACCATCTCGTCCTCGGCCTTCCTACCCGTCTTACGAGATGCAGCTCCTCCATCATTATTTTCTTTGGTATTTCAACGGTGCTCATTCTGGCCACATGCCCTGCCCACCTTAGTCTGGCCAGTTTAATATAGGTGACTATGTCAATGTCTGTATAGAGAGAACTGAGCTCCCTATTTTTTCTTTTCCTCCAGACCTGGACCATAAATCCTTCTGAGGACTCCTCGCTCAAACACACTCAGCTTCATCTCATCGTTTTTGGTCATCGTCCAAGCCTCTGAGCCATATGTCAAAACAGGCCGAACAAGGGTCTTGTATATGATCAGCTTGGTCTTCTTTGAGAGGTACCTACTTCTTAAGTGTCGGCCAAGTCCAAAGACACATCTATTG